TGAACTTATGTGCCTGCCTGAGCCAGATGCTTTATACGGATGCTAGCCCCGGAAGGTCGGAATTCTTACACGAGATGGAACATGTGGGTTACATGACAACTTTGAACTTGCTTGTGGATGATCTGGTAAATTGTTGATGAGCAGCACGCCGGCTCAAAGCTTATTCAAGAGGTTGCTTAACGCAAGCGGCAGTGATACTAAAAGCCTCCGGCGGGCAGTGGTCAGAATGCCGGTGTGCAGCGAAGCAGCTGTTGCCTTGAAGAGTGATCAAGATTCTGGTTAGGCAGCCCACTGGTGATCCAACAGACCCAAATCGCCAGGTTGCTGCCTGACTGCCCTGCAGCACCGCTTCCGGCGGAGAGCTTAGCAGACTGCAGGTTTCCAGGCGTCATTTCCGTGAGCGCATTGTCGCACTGATTGGTCTGGCTAGGCATGTTTTGTAGCTTTGGTACTGCAAGTGTAAATCCCGGCCCTCATTGCCAAATTTTGGCCTGACATTTAGGATCTCTTGCAGCTGTGCCTTCCACTTTGCAGCCCACTTATTGACTGACTCAGACAATATCAGTGAGTTGACACAATCGGGCTCAGAGTAATTCTTGTTGTACTTGGTCAGCAGGGAATGACGCAAGAATGGATCCCAGCTCCTCAATAGCATAGTTGTTTCTATGTTCTATTCCATTCCCCCCTATGATCTCTACAGAACCCATAAGTCATAATAATATACCCGAGTCTCCATTTCATTTTCCATGTTCTTTTCCATTTGATTCTCCATTATTGAGATAATCTCCCGGTATAATACCCATATACCGCTTCAAAGGGATCGAGGTTTTCCATGTTGTTTTCCATTTTCTTCTCCATGTTGTTCTCCAGTATTCGGAGATTGTCTTCCCCAATGTATACCCCGTCATAATAGCTTCCAATGTGATCTCCATTGCAATAAAATATCCCTATGTAACCCCTATATAACCAATATATACTATCATACTACGGTAGTTTCCATTTTATTTTCCGTTCTCCCTAAACCGTAAACCCCGACACTAGACCAGGTCTTCAGCTACACGGCTCATTGAAAGCACTTCAACAGAGGCTGAAGTTTGGGCAGCGTATTGAAGTTCCCTATTCTGGAGTATTCGTCAGAATACGTGGTAAGCATTAATTATGCACCAGAATCCTTTTGATAACTTTACATAATTTTATAACCCTGCACAGCCCATATGTAAGCGTTGAATTTTTTAGGGCCCCTAGACCTATCCCAGTTATGAGGCTTCATGGGTTGCCTGTTACTGGGACTTGAGTCAGGGATGGCAATGGAGACTTCAGTGTGGTTGCAGCTCTTTTTTCTCAAGAGTTTGATTTGAGTCCAGTCGACGCGAATCTGCAAGCAATCTCAATTCTACATCTTGTTTTAGGCTGCCGTCAGTCTGCTTCAAAGCCGTCAGCCACAACCAATTATCCCATAGCTGTATACTAACGCAAAAATCTGCAGGCACCGCTGCCTGCTGACGACTCGGCCGTGGAAATCAACGTGGCGGTGCCTCCTTCTGTATCTTCACGTTGCATTAGCCGTAGACGCCTGACTCCAATCCCGAGTCCTAGTGGTGTTAGAGGATGGGTTACAGTAATCACTATTACAGAGAGGTGTGAGAATCCAGAACGATATTCAGATCAAGCCTCAGGCCGAGGGCCGAGGCCTGGGGGGAGGCTCAGCTAATTTCAGAAGCACGGAAAAGAATCAGAAGTGTCAGTTTTCGTATTGCCGTCAAAGAACAGGCTTCTGCTGCTGCATTTTTCTGGAGCTGTAAAAATGGATTTTACAGGCGCCGACAACAAACGTCAACTTTGAGGAGCAAGAAGCTGAAGCGGGGGCTCTAAGTTTCTTCATGGAATCACTTCATGCACACGTGACGCACCTCCACCATAAGGGGTTGTCTAGGGGTTTTGGGGGATGAAGAAGTAAATGGAACATATTGTAGGTTTAGCTTTAGGGCTACTTTTAAACACCTTCCCCCCTGGCCCCAATGTTAAGCATGTCCCGAAATATGCAAGGTCTCTGTGTTGCGAACATATACATATGAAAGGTAGAAAGTGTTTCATTATGCCATAGTAGCATGGAGGGACTAGTAGCGTTTGCCCAAACGTCCTACACCTTTATCTACCTGCAGGTCTATCTGCAAACCAGCACAGAACTACCCCGAGCCCAAGCTTCCAACATCCTCAACTCCCAGATGCTTCCAGTTTTCAAATAGTCCCTTGATAGCCCCTAATAGGGACCCCACCAATCGCTGTTTATGCGTGGGGTCCCTAAAGGTCCCTAGTTTGAGCCAAGAACTCCTCCCAAACTGTGCCAGGTGCTGAGCGCAGTGCTGCGGCTCTTTTTCCCAAGGAAGCCGAGGTTCACAGTGAGATGGCGAGATGTAAGTTACAGGGTTTAGGGTTTAGGGCCTATGCACTGCTTCTCCTGCGCAGATGAAGGCTTGTCTTTGATGGATTCAGCTTCCCCTGTGCTTAGGTTTGAGGTCCCATCTGTTTTTCTGTGCGCACTTTGGATGCCGTGTGGCTTATCGGCGACCTAGGGGAAGGAAACCCTCAGTCAAAAAGCTCCAGCTGCATGTCACATTCTTACATGCCCAAGGAGTTCTCACGCGCAGCGCATGCCAGCAAAACCGTGATTTGAAACTCAATGAAAAGGCCTAACAAGTAGCTTAACATGACATGCACCCGTTCTAGAAGCCTCAGCCCAAATCTCTACCCTTCTATGCCAGGGAACACCTTACGGCTTTGAAGAAGATCCTGCACCCTGCTGCCCAGCTACATGCTGTACGCACCAGGCAGGGCATTTGACTCAAAATCCCCCAGATTGCAGGTTTCTGAGTGGCAGGATTTCAGACAACGCTTTGGATGGGCGCGTAAGAAGTATGAACCAGAAAAAGTTGACATGCTGGGACACATGAATGCCGGGGTGGCCCCAGCCAAAAGCATGTCGGACCCGCCGGGAAGATGTTGGATAAAGCAACCAGCAGATGCCAGTAATCATGTTCAACTTCCTGAGAAACATGTGCAGCATCCGCGCCATCCTTATCATAGAGAAGCTGGTGCAAGACAGGGCCATGACTTCGTGCGGAAAGGCTCTGGGAGTACGGTGTTTAGTGCCGGTTTCAGCGATCAGGGTGCTGCGATTGAAGGATTGACCTCTGTAGCCATCAACCTAATCCTTTCACTCCACACGCTTTAGATGCATTTTTCGCTGCAGCTGCAGGGATCGTCTCAAGAAAGAGTCCGCCACCTTTGTGGGCGAGGAGGCAGGACCAGCTAGGACCTAGGAGGGAGATTTATCCTCTCAGCTTGTTCCGCAGCCAAAGCCGGGTCAGGTGCACTCAAAAGCACATCCGCGAATGCGGGTCAGCTGAAGAACCTCTATTTGCCGAGATGTGTGCGATGTGAGCATGTGTCAGCGCTTTGCTGGTTGAGCCTGCACCGCGGTTCCGCGAATGCCTAAGTCAGAGCTTCTGAGACCATACAACTCTTGCATATATAATATAGTGCACATGTCATTTATGGTGGCACGCCAGCACGGCTCATCTTAGATGAAATTACACCTGGCATCATAAGACCTTTCATCGCCTGCAGCCTGTCCAGGCTCAAACGAGTCTCCAGGATTTGGAGAGGCGCACCGGGGGCGTGCCAAAATCGTTCCAATGCTTTCAGCTTGGCATCTCGACTTCCCACCTTAGCGAGCTCCAACTAAAGAGTGAAGAGTGATTCTAGCCACTGCCGGACCTACGCAGGAAGTTTACTAGAACTTGGGTTCGACGATTCAGACTTCTACTTGCGGTGTTCAAACACGCAGGTCCGAATCAATAGTTGCATAGGTTCGGAACTTGTGGTGTCTTGTATCGATGCGATTGTGACTGCAGGGTCCTGTAAAGGTCTGGAGATGTTCGTTACCAATAATTGTCAGTTCTTATGACGCTGACTGCTTCATCCCTAAAGGAGTGCTGTACTGCCATGAAAAACGGATTAAAAATCCCTATACAGCCATAAAAATCGAATTAAAAATACCCCCAAACCTACCCTAGACTGTTTCCAACACTCTGTTAATGGAACGGTTGGGCTTCGGCATGAGGAGGGGCTCCGGGGGTATGCCTGGGATTGCTGAAGCATTATTGGGGATTATAATCCCTACTGTACATAATCTTAAGTGACCCATGAGAAATAAGTCTTTAATAGGGGCTCCTAAATATATCACAGACTCAGCAAAATGACTAGCTAATTTTAAGCAGGTAGAACCTCTTGGCCCTTCAGGTCGCTTCCTCCCAGCATCTCCCTGAAGGCTATGAAGCGAGTGGATGCAGATTAGGCTTCAGCGGTAAGCATTGTTGGTGGTCAGCATTGCGGTGTGGCTCGCCATCCGATGGCTCTTTCAGGGCTTTGAGTATATTGGCAGAGTGGCTCTGTGTGCGTGTCTAATCAATAGCTGCTGTTGGGACCAGCGCTGGCGAATGTATCGAAAGATGAAAATACCACAGGCACCTTCTCGCAAACCTGTGCTGCATGAACTCCTTGCGTTCCTCTAATGCTCAGTCTTTGCGAAGTTGGAAAGTCTGCTTGAGTTTTAGGTGCCTGACACTGAAGCTGCAGCCTGCATTACGTAGCCAAGGGAGTTGCCTTCACCATTGGAGTTTTGAGCCAGATTTGGGGCCTTGTGCAACCTCTTCATGACAGGAGATCCTGTGCCTACCGTTCGGCCCTCAATTTCATCGGCTGCATAGTGCACTTCTCTGGAGAGGGACTGCACCGGACCAGTGCAGCAAGGACAAGACACGTTGTTCTCAGATTCCCAGCAAGGCAAGCAACAAGAAAACCTTGTGGGCCCATCACCTTGGTCTGTCCTTCTGTTAAGGCCTGTGTCTCCCACAATCCTATCACATGCAGCCTGTGGATCCTAGTACACTGAAGATTCATAGCTTGTTGAGCTAAACGCAAAGCTTCTTGTCAGGCAGATGAATGCAGATGGAACTATGCGGGGAGGCCACCGTCTCCTCTTGGACAACCTGGTGAGGCCGCAGACTCCTGCAACATGGGGTATTTCTGGGAATCATTTTTTCTATTATGGCTATAATCCCGGCGCACTCCCTCTAAAGCCATGCCATTTGATTGATTCTGCGACTCCTCAATCTGTCCTGTCAGGCTCTTCGGTGCTACGTCTTTGCTGGCTTTAGGTTTGGGATGAGGACCCCCCAAATAGGGACTTTCATTCATAGAAGCCATAAACAATTTCTAAGACCTAGTTTCTGTTTCATTTCCCATTTTATTCTCCATTAGATTGTCCTTTATTTTCGGTAATATATCCGGATGTTTGCGCCAGGCTAGCCCTGGCCGACGATGGTTTCGGGAAGGGCAAGAGTTCTTCAGTCAAGGGCATTGACACCGATCCACGGGTTGATAACTTCTTCTTATGGCACTTGATTTCAAGTCTGAATGAAGGGTTTGTCCTTGCTGCTTGCACCGTAGTCCGTGGTTGACCGTGCTTGGTAGTTTTCTTCAACAGGAGGACCCCAATTCAAACCCCAAATACACCATGGCCCTTATGATGTGATGCGTTGCCCATAAAAGACCCCTAATTCTCAGAAAGCCTTTACTCAACCCTTACTGGCAATGCATGGGCTGGACCCGGCTTAGAGCTCTTCCCAGCCAAGCCAAAGCCTGAGTTCCCATCATAGTATGCCTTGGTGAGGGCACCATCGCCTTTCGTCCAAGAGCGGTGGCCCTGGTTCTTCCCTGCGCAGAATCATGCCTGTCCTAATTTTAGGGGTTGGGGCAACTCAAATCCTTTTATTGCCTGCTGCAAACCCTGTGTAACCACAGTTTCCATTTCATTTTCCATGTTCTCTCTCATTGATTCATTATCTTAAGTCGACGGGTAAGGCTGGGACACGTGCAGGGGTATTCATGGGAAAATATCGATTCTTCTAGACCATAATCCTCAGTAATCCTTCTATACCCATATAGAACCCACAGGCATTTGATTTGTACAGGGCCCTTAAATTTATCCCAACATGCAGGCAGATTGTGGGAGACATGAGCAAAGAGGAAGTTTGTCCGACAGAAACAGTGATCAAGCCCGGTGTAATCATGCATCAGCGATCCTAGCGATCCTAATTCATGAATGGTAGCTAGCTTACATAGGCAGACCCCAATACAGACGTAACAAGTACTGTCGTCCTTAATATGGGAGCCGCCAAGAAGTGACCACTAATTTTTCTAAAAATCTCACCATATAGATTAAGATATTCCCCTACTCTCTAGTAACCCCCAGCAAGACAGGGACCGCTGGGAGTAATACTTACAAGATCTAATTGCAAACGCAGCTTACTGGGAAGCTTGCTACACGCTTGCACTTCACCCAGAGACCTCTGACAGCACCCGCAGTCCTCTTGACCCCATACTAAATTACCAATACTGTTCTCACGTGTATTTAGAGGTACTCTATACGATAAGTATGCAAGGAATTTTAGTACTTATCCCAATAAAGCACACTGTTAAAGTCGGTTTCGATTTTATTTCCGCTTTTGATTTGATTCCCCATAATTCCTTATCCCTACACCCATCATATTGGTGATTATTCAGGCCTCTACAGTACTTTGCTTCACCTTGAGGCTTCGACGGCAGCATCTGCTGGAGTGCTCCTGGCAGCTTATGATCGGGGAGAAGAACCTGCAAAGTCCCTTCGCAAAGGTATGGACTTAGGGAATGGAAAACATGGAACGTACTACATATTATAATGGAACATCAAATGGAAAAGATCACGGAAAATTACATGAACACTAGAGTAGATTACTGGGTATTTCTGGGAAAACGTTTTACTCATTTTTTGAACCGGAATCCTTGCCTGGCCTTTTGAACCCACATAAGAATTGATTTCTATGGAGCCCCTTCGTCTATCCCGGGTTTCACGAGGCTTGTTTACACTTAACCGGGAACCCTAAAGCCTAGACCAGCCCGCTTTCTCCATGGCCAGTCCCTGGATACCGACTTGTACAAGTATTTGCCGTCCTGCATCCCTACCACTGGCCAGGTGCGTGCTGTCCACGGAGAAGCTCCAAAGGGTGCGCGTGTTGCACATATGCTATGTTCCTAGACGGTGTAGGGTTCAGGATTGATTTAATATATAGGGATATATATAGGGGAATGGGAAAGGAAAAGGAAACTATTGTACTATAAGCCTCATTTCTTGAGTTGTGCAACAGCCAGCGCGACACCCTGCATCATAGCACAAAGCCAAGGTTGAATACATGGGCCCACGACATGAAGCTGCTTGAAAAACTGGTGTAGCCGCAGGCGTTGCGGGTGAATCGACGCAATCCAGGCCTCTCTTTCTGCAGTTTGGAGGGGTTCACGCTAGTCCGTAGGAATTTTGTAGCAAGTTTCCAGACTTTGCACGCTCCCGATAACTCACAATATTCTAAACAGCTGCTTGGTCAGCACAGCCTGAGGAGGCGGCAACACAGGCGATGGGGATAATGGCCAGCCCACCCTGACTCTTGGCGCCGATTAGACGGGCTTGTGATGACAGCTTAAACTCATTGGGTGGACCTTGTGAGAGGCGCCCAGCATGAGCTGCGTGCAACGAAGGCCAATTGGGCTGTGCGAAGGTAGGCAGAGGAAAGGTCATGCCTGACCTGCCCTAAGCTCCTCTACATTTTCTGTCTCAAGAATGCCGGCTTTTCATGTTGAATGCTTTTATAGAATGCTTGTCTATAAACACCCATGTCAGCTGGCTGCTTTGGAGGCCCTCAAGTAGAATGACAGCCAAGGAGCGCCAAAGAGATTATGGAGGCGCTCAACAAAGCCGATCGGGACCCGAAATGTCAAGGGAAACTTACACGAAGCCTTTCGCAGGCCTCACGGCTGACCAGCTTCCAAATCTGTGGAATATTCCTGGGAAAGACCTGTGAATTATCATTGACCCAAATTCCTACATGAAATTATTATGTATCGCAAAAGAATATTTCTTGATGGGCTTTGCAGCCCTATCCCAGCAATGCCATCATCCTTGGTGTAAGACTTAAAACGGAGCTGCAAGAGCTTGCATGCAGGACTTGACCCCCGATCAGCGGCACGTGTACTTGCTGCGTGGTCTGGAACTCTGCGAAAACTTCAACGCAGGAAGTCTTTGACTTGTAGATTGGGGCTCTTCTTCACATTGGCTAGCTCATACATGGAGACTCTAGCGCTGAGCAGGGGTAGGTTGGAGAATACGTTTGCTTTTACTACCATTAATCGTCAATCATTAAAGAACCCTATGAAGCCAGAAAAATCATTTCTTTAATAAGGCACCCAAACCTACCCTAGATGAACGAAGACTCTAGCTTGGAGAAGGCGGTTCAGGTTTGGTTTTGGCAAAGATCTGTGGCGTCATCGGTGTTCGAAGTTGGGCTGCTCGACTGTAATGTAGAAACCTAAATAATTACCAATGTGAGATCCCTTTCTAGGGGATATGCATGGTTAAGGGTTTACGGAAGAATTGAGAAGCACATGGAAAAGACAGTGGGAAATAGAATGGACACTTGGGTTTTTTAGGGATAATTGTCAATAGCATTTCTTGTATAATTAAGGTATGGGGTACCCCAAACAGACATCAATGTAACATAGATAATCATTCAGGCCCCGAAATTAGGCTCGGCTCGCCAAGCAGCTCGAAACAGTTCAAGAGAGCTGACCGACTCTGGGGTATTCCTGGGAATGATTTGTAATGATTGCGGGCCATAATCCCGATGTAGCCGCATAGAGCCCGCAAGATCTCATTTGTTATAGGGCCCCTAATTCTATCCCTGTCCTGGACTCTCACGTCCTCACGCTTGCTTAGCCCGCCAGGTTTCGGCCGCCGGCTCCCGGACATGCCAAGCACGGAGGCTGGCCGTTCCGAATAATGCTGCTTGTGGACTCATGTGGACTCTAGCATGTGAGATTGGGGCTTGGAGACTAGGGCTTTGTTCTGGGTCTCGTGTTCTCGTGTCCCATGCGTTCTGAGAGACTTTGTGATGGAGTTCAGGCTGCAGGTTTTCGCACCGAACCCTTGCGTAAAGTCGATCACGGTCCCTCGTGCCCATCACTTTGGCGAAAGTAAGGTAGATACGGACAGGGTGGTTCGTGAAATATGCTCCAAGCATTTCATGCAGATGTGGCATCACAAGGGAAGAGGTCACGTCACAGCATCGTGCTCGCATCATCCTTGGACCTTTGCATACTCTGACAACATCGTCGGTCTTGGGTGATGGGCCCAAAAGACCTGTGATCACCAGGGCTGACATCCAGATTCAAGATTGTACACACCATGCTGGCACATGTCGGCTAAAAGAGCAACAACGAGGAAGACAGGAGTGAGTGAGTAAGTGAGTGCATGAGTGCGTAAGTTCGCGAGTGCGCAAGTGCGTGATTGCGCGAGTGCGTGAGTGCATGAGCGCATGCGTGTGTGCTTGAGTCAGCGAGCGAGAGAGCGAGCGAGCGAGTGCGAGAGACGGAGAGAGAAGAATCAACATATTTGCCAGGGCAAGTTGCCCCAGCAAAAGAAGCGCAAAAGAGAGGGTGCCACAAGCAACCAGTCTCACGACGACGGCTGCAAGACCACAGAAGTTGATGCCAAATGTCACAACGTGCAAGGGCAAGGGCCACCGGCTAGGGCGGATTGGTGCTACCAGAACAGAAAAGCCGTTGTCATTAATTAAGTTGGGGAAGCTCAGGCATTCGTGGGCTGCTTAGACACATGTGCCAGCTGGTACTGCGGACAACCAGCGGCACACTTGGGCATGCTTTCCTCATCCAGCCACACCTCAGTGTGAGGGTCTCTACAGGGATGATGTGAAACAAGAATCTTGCATTTGCGGCCTGATTCCGCCCCTACCGCAGCACCACAACCACAGAAATGGCATTCATGCAACGCAGCCGGCTGGCAAGGGACGCTGCCACTCGCTCCCCCGAGCTTCTTTGTGGGTTGATTTTGGGGAGGGGAAGTGAGGGGGAGGGTAGTATATGGTACTACAGGAACCCCAAACCCTGTACCCTCAGATCCTGTAAACCCTAAATCTGTAAACCCAAGTCCCCTGAAGCAGCCTATCTCGTTTCGGCCATTTCTTGCAAGGCTGGCGTGGGGCCTCTTGCAGAGGCGGGGTCCAAGTTTGGCTCGGTGATGGGATGAAGGGCAGAAGTGTAATGCCCTGCCATCGTTTTCCAATTTTCTGCCGGGAGCTGTACAGCCTTGGGGACGACTTCTTACAAGCTGTGATTGCAGCCATCTTCTGGAAGACTTCAATGGAAACCCTCGGGATGTAAGGCCCCAGTCATGAAGAATTGACCTCATCTAGGGACGTGTAATGTTTTGGCAGTCTGGAACATCAACTTGGAGCTCTTTAGGTCTGCGGCATCAGTCTGTGTGAGGTTCGGTTGGCCATAGCTCAACTGTAAGTTTGCCACCTCCCCGCCTCAAGGGTCTCTTTCATCGTCCAAAGGTTTTCAATCTCCAATCGGAGGCTTGTTCAAGATTCCCTGTTTGGGATTCAGTGCTGATCACGCAATGCAAGGGCCAACCCTCGCCCACACCGCTGTTGCTGAACAAATGTTGTTGCCAGTACGAGACCAAGGATTTTTTATGCTCTTCGCACATGCGGTGTGCAGATGTACAACACGAGGTGTTCAGATTGGCATGAACTTCGCTAGTCTAAAGTCTAAAGTTCCGCCCTCCTTAAGCAGGAGTTTCTCTTGCTGTGGCATTCTGTAGGCCTACGACAGCGCCTTGCGCGTGCAGAAGGTGCGGAAGATGCTGCAGGAGCTCTCAGATCCCGAGCATGTTGCCACGTCCACTGTAGAGACCTTGCAGGGTTTGATTGCCATGCTTCATTGCTGCTGCTAGGGCAGCCAGGAGGAAAGCTTCAGAACGTAAACGTCCTTCATGAAGACAAGCCGTTGTTGTTTTGATATGGGGACGACTTGTGTACATTGTACATGATGCACAACTGCCAGGACTACTGTTCCGAGCTCGTGGAGAGCAGCCTGAGTCCAAGCTCAAGACGGGCGGGATGATCAAGCCCAAGATAATCTACGAAAGTTGCGGCTTGAAGTATGATCCTCAAACTAAACTCCAAGCGCTGCATCCGTTGACACATTTGCTGTGGCAGACCTGGCGCCCGTTATAGGCTACCATTCTTTCCAAGAAAGATTCTTGAAGAACGGCTCTTCGCCTCTGAGCATACAGGGTGACTACAGATAATTGCATGCATACACTATGTTGAGATGCGGGTCAAGTCTCTCACGTACAAGATGGCACAAGGAATCCTAAGGCCGGATGTCAATACTAGAACTTAGGAACAGCATTCAAATGATGAGCCTTAAATTCTCCTGAGCCTTGCACGAGCAAACCCCGAACAGCCAACTTCAACCAAGATGCCACGGTGGGAACTGACGTCTTCATCCGCAATCTGCAGTGCTCTGGGGTCATCAAGGGCGGCAAGCACCTTGCCTGCATAACTCAAGATGGTGCGACTGCAGGTTCACACACGTGCCCTTCCGGTTCGGACAAAATCAATATGCCACGCTGGGGCAGCTGCTCGAGTCGTGCACTGTTTACGTGATCTATCTGTAGACGGCACAGTTGCAGCACCTAGTTTCGTTTCTTTGCCCTGCCTTGTTTGCTCATGTCGCGACACACCCATCCGAGGCATTGGGAGCCAGAGTTTTCCCTGCAAGAAGCTCCTCGGCAAAAAAAACACGGAAGCATACTCGTATACAAGACAGGCTTGGTCCGCTGGGGTTCAGTAAACGTCGACTTGAGAAGTACCTGTCGGCAGAGGGAGAGTTAGGGTTTGAACCGCGGACTTTTGGGAGTTGCCATCCCCGTCTGACATGAGCTGCTGAATGGCCAGATCTACCTACTGTAAAGCCCTTTGGGGTTCTGATCCAATCTTCGTTTGTTTGGATGTGTTTGCGCTTTAGGCAAAGTCACACTTGTCCATCCATGAACCAGTGCTTGCACTGCTTATGGTCCTCTACCATCACCTAGCATCTTGGATGCTATCGAATTGTGAATTCAGAGGCTCCCCGGTCTCGGCATAGGTATAACTTTACATATCCTGGGCCATCATCCTTATGCAAACTTCTAAACATGTAAGCCATAGGAATTTCGTTGCTACAGGGCCTCTAAACCCTAAACCCTTCACAGGGTCGGAGAACTGTGAACCTCAAAGGCCGTAATCTAAGGCAATAAGCACAGGGTCATATAGGGTTGTATATGGGGATTAGAAAGGGTTATGTCAGGGTCACTCAGGGTGTTCAGGGTTACACAAGATTATATGGCGATTTTTTTTGGATCCATGTTTGGAGTGGTTCAGGTTCATTCCTGTGGGTTACGATTGGAGAATACAACTCTTTCGGGGATGCCAATATCCCGAAGCCCACAGCCTCAGACAGAACGGACTGGACAGCAAGAGATCCGCATAACCCTACATAATGAATCCCTGTATAAGGCTAAATAATTGCCAGATACTCCCCATTTCTTCTCTGTGTAATCCTTGCGTAACCCTGTACCTGAAAACCCTCACGGGACCAGGTGGCCCAGGAGTCCGGCATCTGTTCGATGACCGTCTCCAATCCGAGCCAACCGATCCTGGACGAGCTTCTCTTCTGCAAGCTCAGAAGGTTTTGACGGGGTTTGCGTCCTGCAGTCTCAAGTTCAAACTGTTTAGTGGGAATGAAGTCATCGGACACCCGCGGTCTCCGGACGTAAGAGTAGAAGATGGGGCAGTTGAGCTGCACAGCTGCGCGCGTAGCCTGTGGCCTTGCGAGCAAGGTCTTGTGCAGCAGTCGTAACCTCTGCGCCGACATGTGTGATTGGTTTTATACTCGTAGTCTCTGCAGGCACTTGCAACTCCCCGCCATTTAGACCAGAGGCAGGAAAAGCAAGAAAGAGCCCTGGAGGCCCTAGAGGAAACCTACCCCAGTACCCCGTATGCATAGTAGTTTCCATTGAATTTTCAATTTTAGTTTCGATTTGGTTCTTCACCATAGCGAACATCTCCACACATCCCTAATATCATCCCAATATACTCTGTTATAATACAGCATGTTACGTTTCCATTATCCCTATAAAGACACACAACCCCTAGACCCTAAACAGTAGTTGCCCATTTTCTCTTTTCGTTGCTCAACCTATGTTACATTTACATTTGTAAGCCCAATACAGACCCTGCAGATAGAGTCCCCAGATAGAACATGGCCTTGGGTATATTATAATGAGATCCCCCATATATCCCACATTATATCTACTTAGGGGGGACTGCAACCCCAATATATACCCCATTATAGTAGAGTAGTTTTTATTTTTCTTTTCCATTATCCCTATATAACCCCAATAGAATACCCCATATTCTATCTACTAAAGGGGGACAGAGACCCCGAAGCCCAGGCTCATCTCGGCTCACATCGCATCAGGCTGGGAGCAATCTGTTCGCTCAGGATCCAAAGGGTTTTGGGGTTTAGGGTGTTGAGGGTTTAGGCAATGGAAAAGACAGCATTGAAACTATTAAATTAATGGAGAATGAAATGGAAAAGAAAACGGAACATGGAATGGAACCAAGGGTAGGTGAACGGAGTATTCCCGGGAAACACTTATCATAGACCACAACCTTCTGTAACCGCAGATAACCATGAGAGCCTTTAGGGCACCTAAATCTATCCCAGGTTCAGTGTGCCGATAAGGTTTTTGTTGCTTCGTCTGTCAAGCGGCAACTTTACCCCGTAGGTAGGGCCAAGGACTGCGTTGCACACTAAACGGTTGCATCATGTGGCCTTGCTTGAGGTTTGTGGGTTAGCATACGCTGCATTGCAGGTTGACCGTGGCACAATCTGCACCTTGTTGAAGGGATCGGTACAAGATTGTTTGTTTTTGTTCGAGGCTCAATACTGGGGTATGTATTCCTGGCAATCATTTTCTGTTATGGAGCATAGGCCCCCAACACATATAACTCATAAGAAGTGAATTCTTCCAGGTCCGCTAAATTTCTCCCAGAAGAAGCGAGCTTATGGCAGGCTGTGGCGGCGCAGCCATAAAGCCAAAAACCTTGATCTGAATCAATTAGGGTTTAGGGTTTGGGATATTCCCAGGAGTAACAATATTCTTTATGGGCCACAATTCTCATACCTTCCCCATAGGCCTCTCATACATTCCCCATAGGCCTGAAAACATGAATTTCACGGGGCTGCCAAACATATCCCACACCCTAAACCCCAAGCCCTGAATAGTAGCTTTCATTTTCTTTTCAGTATTCCTGTATATCTCTGTACTGTTATAGGGCCCCTGAATCCTAAATCCTGAATCCCAAACCTGACGCCCTTAATTCTACATGACCTTTTATTGGGAGCTGTATAGGGCCCCCAAATCTATCCTAGTTCCCTGCTACAATCCCTACAGAACCCCCCCACGCAAAGACCCCAAAATATTATAATGCACCCTACAAAAAGGTATCCCCACTATTGGGACAAGAAGCCCCCAAATCAGAACCCCCACATACAGACCCCAAGATATTGTTAGGACCCCTCAAAAAAGGTATCCCCAATATGGGGAAAAGAAGCCCCCAAATCTATGCCAGTCCCAGGTGCCGTGCAGGAGGATGGCGTGGAGGCGAACTTATCCCTCCCAGGCACTCAGGGGCTAACCCTTAAAGTTTTTTGGCTTAGGGCACCAAGTAAATAATTGGGTCCCTCTAGAGGGATATGCAGTGATATATAGGGATATGTGGTATATAGGGTTCAAGGTGAGTATTTGGGATTTTGCGAAGAGCACTTGTAGTACGGTTTTGGGGAAGTTCATGATCATAAAGCAGTTGGACCCTGAGGGCTTCGGCCATGGGCTGTGTCTGGTGATTTCGGTTCCCCGCTGCCCAGACGCCAGGCGGTTCCTAGAGCACCCAGTACCACTTAATTCAGAAATAAACCCTCAGTGATAGTAGGATCCCTTCTGAGAGTACTGGGCTTCCTGGGTTTACAGTCAGAGAATCGTCTCAGTGTGTCAAAAGATATTTAAGGGCTGCCGCCGCTGCCGCCGACCCCGCAAAGGGGCGGCTGCAGCACAGGGGCAAATTGAGGGGTCCTCCCGGGAGTACTGTAACACATTAGATTTCTGTCAGGTAGGAAGTGAGGCTAGGGGGTCTTCGCCTTTTCACAATCTTTTCGAAGCGGGGTGGTGTCTGGGGCACCAGATGATAAAAGAAGTCTTGCTTGGGACGCTTCGTGGCATTTGGTA